CGGCAACGCGCTACAGACGATTGCATGGCGCATCCCTGAACGAGATTTCATACGTCATATTCCAGTGAGCACAGCGAAAAAATTCTTCCAGAGGAAACTCCATGCTTTTGAGAACAAATCAAAGTGGAGGAAAGTGCAGCGAATTCGGCTGATTGACCTCTGGAGTACTAATAGAAACCTATGGCAGGAGAAAGGTTTTCCTTTCAAGATAATCTAGCATCTGCTATATGATCTTTCTGATTTCAATGGTCTTTACCGCTTCTCAATGTACCGATTTTGAAGAAACTTACGGCCAGTTGAAGGTTGAAAAGTCAAGGTGGCCTAAAACCATTGAGGGCAAAAACGGAACAACGGGACGATTTTTCGAAAGTGGTCATTCAGGAAAATCAATATTTTTCCAGAAGCGTCAATCTTCTAGTTTCTAATTAGCTTTGAGAAATCTGCAAAAAGTTAATAATGAAGGAAGTTATGAACGCTTTGAATGAGATCTCCACAAACTCCTGAAAACGGAACAACGGGACTATTTTTTGAGAAAGTGATCGCTGGAAAATTTTCAGGTGCTTGTTTGAAAGCGCTAATCTTCTAGTTTCTAATTAGCCTTAGACTGCAAAAAGTTGATTATGAAGAAAGTTATGAATGTTTGAATGAAAACTCGCGTGTGCACAGAAAAACGGAACAACGAACGATTTTTCAAAGAATTGAGCATTTGTATAGATTTCAAAGCTTTTTATAAAAACAAAACAATTTGAAGGTTTTATGTTTGGTATCCCATCTTATGAGACCGCTTTGGAAGGAAAGGTTTTTATATGTTTAGGTTTTTGAATGAAAAGGCTTTCATCGTAATGTAATTGATGCAAGGTTCAGGTTTGTGAAGTCAACACGAATGAAACTGTCCCTCAAAACGGAGGGGGCCATGATCGCATCATAGCTTTCTTTTCTGTTTGTGAGAATCGATGACGCTAGCTTTTTTTAGTGTACGCATCGCAACAAGGAATAAAAGGTCCATTCTACACGGGCCTGAATCGACTCTCCCAAAGCGACTGGGCATGGACCGACGGCAGTGGGCTCAGCTACTCTAGATGGGCACCAGGTATGGTCTTCTTGCGTTTCTTTTCTTTTTTCTTCATGCTCTTTATTGTCCAGTGTAAGTACGGCCGCCATTCCCTATTTTCTGCACTCCATCGTCCTTTTGTGCTGAGGTTTGTTAAATAACGATTGTTCAGGAGAGCCGAACACTAGCGCTCAATGTGCAGCTGAGAATTCAACAGATGCCACATGGGTCTCGGCTGTGTCCTTGACTCTGACGCTATATCCATAGCGTATGTGTTCAACAGTTGACGGTCCCGACGACGCCGACTTGTCCGCCACCACAGCAGCCTACGACCTGTCCAGCTTGCCCTGGTATGCTGCAATTTCCTCACTGGATCACATTATGGAACCACTGAAAAAAGACCCGAAAGCGGCCACTCAGAAGGCCTTGTCAGAAATGAGCAACAAACTCCCAAAGATGTCAGGAATGTCTTTCCGATTATTTATTTTTAGAATGACTGTGCAGAGGGAATTCTGAAATCCTGCTTCTTTATTCCATGTGGCCTCCCATTGCAACTTGAAGGCAGCGATCACGAAAAGCTCAAGAAGGGTTTATTGTGACATGGCGGTACTCATGAGTACCAGTGATGCGAAAAAGCGAAAAATCTATTCAAGGAACGCGAATGGGACCCCTTTTTTGGTTTTCACTCTTACACGGTAACAAGTCAGAAAGAGGAAGTTACGGAAGAGTTCCACAATGTGTTTTATCGGCACCATTTGCCACATCAAGTGTTTTAAAGGACGAATTCACGCTGAAAAAGCAACCCATTTCAAATTAAGCTAGGGATGGTGAGTGGTACACGAAAGAAGGAAGAACCATGAGAAACGGCCCAGAACCCGAGAAATGGTACCCCTTCCTTGCCCGTTTCTGATTCTCAAGATTAGCATACGGTGGAGATCCTACACCGGGGTCTTTCCCTTTCTTCGACCTTCATTATCTAATCCGGTGAATTCTCCTCTTATCGAGATGCTCCATGTTTGGCCGACAGCTGACCACGCAGCTCGTCCAAATCAACAACTAAGCTGGTTGAACGGCTCGTTTTTGTGGGCGGAGTGCTTTCAAGGTCCCGGTGAACGACCAGCGCACCTTTCGTTGTGAAAGCGCAACACTTCGCTTCTTGGCAGCCAAGTAACTGTAACTGTGGTGCATTATGCATCCCCGATGCGCTTCCTCTTTATTGCCATCGTTTCCTTTAATTATTTTAACCCTATCCTGCTACCATGGGGCAAGTCTTCGAGCAGGAGCTGTTTTCAAAATACTGGGACCAAAATTTTGAGGAAATTTGTATTTTGTGTTTACTAGAGAACTAAAGATGTGCGTTCAGCTGTACCAGGACACTGCCCCTCTGAATGGACCTATTATTCGAAAACCGATGCTTGCTACAAGGTAATTCAAAGAAGTTAGTTATTATTCGCATTTCAAACGATTTGACATTTTAAAAATATAATACCAGATTTTTATCAAGCGTGGCCCTTCACCAAAATGTTTGGGACGAGATAAGCATGAACCATGATTTCAGGCATTCTTGGATTCAGCTTTCGACCAAGCCGAAACCGTATGTCAGTCAACAGGAGGACATTTGACGTCTATCCACAGTGATGAAGAGAATGTTTTCGTTTCAAGTGGGCTCTAAAATGCTTTTTTTCCAGCAATCGATACTAATCGGTGATTGATTTTTTGAAGTTTAGGCTTGACACACATGGGCATTGAGTATAGAACTGAGAAGCACCTGACATGGATTGGTTTGAGAAAGCCCAGCTTCCCAGCTAATAGCACGTGGGTATGGACCGATGGATCTGTGGTTGACTATCTTCTGTGGGCTCCTGGGAAACCACAAGACATCACTGGCATCCAGAATTGTGCTCAGGTTTTAATCGAGTTACTTTATTGGTCCGTTACTTTATTGGTCCGGGAGTCAAACTTGTTGGTCTCAAAATGGTGCAGACTACAGAGCAACATATTGAAAATATTAGCTTATTGTTCAGATGTACACTGACTCGCTAGGCAAGAATCCTGACAAAGACGCGGATTTTCGACGTTGGAATGATGTCCAGTGCGCCACATCCATGCGTGCGTACGTCTGCAAGCAAGCCGCACTCCATTGAGAAAACATCTGTTATTGGAATAAATATTTTCACTCATACTTCTCGTGGTCTAACACTGCGCCATTGGTAGTCACTGGAGAATCTATCAGAAACATTATTGGAGGCACGAGGCGCGTGTGATCCTCACAGAAGTGTTTTCCCTGAGAGATACAAGGGTACCTGATTACAGGGCTGGTGCTTCTCCGATTCGAAAATGAGCAACAGAGAAGTCAAAGCTTTACCGCTACCGCGCGCGCCCTCGCGTGTGCGCTGAGCTTTTTCGCGTGTTCCCTCTCCTTGCAGCCGTGTATTTCTCCGTCGTGCCACGGTAGATCTCTCAAGAAATTCAAGTGGTCTGTTACGCTTTTTGCTTTTTACACCACTAATGTTTCTGTTCGCACTGCTTGTCAGAGTTCCGATCGAAACAGAATCCCAAATCGATCGCGATCTGTGCACTTGGGAGATTAGATATGAGATTCCAAACACTTTTTTGGCAGACCCTTTGGTGTTCACTTCTCTTTTATCTTTTCACTCTCGTCCCCTCGTTGTCGGTCTCTCTTGTGTGTCCTCTCCTCATCGTCAACTCGCGTACAATATCCTAAATAAGGTTCAGAATACTACTTTCGACTGTTTTTTGTTTTGTTTGTGTGTTGTTCTTCCATCCCAGGTCACACAGGACCTACTATTCTGAGTCGCGAAAATGACTTTACCTCTACGATTGCAGGCTTAGCACTCTGTTCGGGTTAGGGACTTGTCCAATGATCCTAAAGCAGAATATGCTGTGAAAACAGTCATTGCGTACTTCGGCAATTCTTTGGATTTCAAAATAACAGCTACGATATTCCTTTATTTCATTTTTAATAATACACAGTGAACGCATAAAATGTAATAACAGCATATGATATAAAAAACCGTGTAAAATAGAGTTCTAGTCAAAGTTCTCAATAGGAGCAAACATGGAAGAGGCTTACATGGAGGTGTTGGTACCTACAAAGGCAGTATAGCTGCAACCGGGCAGCTTACCTTTTTGTTAAAAAACATTCACCAGAGGCGATATTCGCTCCCAATGCTTCTTTTAGAGTTTGTTTTGTTTTTGTGCACCAAAATTTCCAGTAGATATAATATTTATTATAACAAAGGTTTGAAAAGGAGGATTAATCTGAAACAGGTCAATGAATTTTGTGTGGCTGGGAGGAGGTAAACTGCTATCACTTCGTTAACAGGCGCTAGCGTCCCTTTGCCGCGCCTCTTGGAGCCTCCCCCTCCCAGCGCATTTCTCTGGATTTCAACGGCTTTTCCCTATTATCCCCCTACCACTGCCTTGAGAAAAAGGTCCTCTGCTTTGAGAAGACCCAGTGATTTCTTTCCCTATCGGTCCTTTTTTCACCTCTGTTTGAATTTTCAAGTGAAATAATCACACTGCCTCAAGGTGGACTTAACGAATAGAAGGTAGCTCCGAAACTAGGAACTAGAAACCGAGGTAGAGGTGCTCAGTGATGCAAGGATGAGAAAATCCAAGGAGAACTTAGACTTATTCTTACTTAGAACCGAAAAATGAACGAGTGAGTAAGGCATGTATCATCGGTGCTGACCTCATCAACGTTACCACAATACATTCTGCCATGATAAAATGTCCCCCGTCGGCGCGGACCCATACCGTAACCCGTATTGGCGCCGGAGCGCAGTTGCAAGCCTCCAGCGCGCAGCGCTAAGGGAGCTACGTGAGTTCAATCCCACGTGGCGCTCCATCCTACTGCCTATATTAACGACAACTCGGTTGGCCGAGTTGCTCGACGGCATCTTTCTCCTCATAAGAGGACGCGGAGCAAACACGAGAAGCATGAAGAACGAGAACTGGGAGGCGAGCACGCATGGAAAATGACACGAAATATGCGAGACAAATTTGCGCGTGTGGTAGGGTGCCTGTTGTGCGCCTGCACCACTAACATCGAACCTGACGGCGAATTTTTCGCGTGTTGGGTTACGGTACCGCAAGCGCTGCAAGGGAACGTTATAATCTACATACGTCTGCTAAAGCGGATAGAGTCAGACTACGGGGGTGGGTCTAGCCGGGCGGCGCCTGCCCGCTAGACCGCTGCAAGCATGTACTTGCAAAACCCGCATCGTCCTGCACCCTGCCTTTTCATTGGGAATACCTTCTTTTCTTCAGCCTCCAACTTTATCGTGGAATCCTCTTCTAACTCCTGCCATGTGCATTCGAATCAATGGAGGAGCAATACAGTGACTACCAGTTTACTATATTGAGCTCCGATTATTCGGTGACTAGCATTAATGTATAAGCTTATACTCATTCTAGCTCATTAATGTATCACGAAAAGATTGAAGTCAAGCAAAAGCTGATGATGTACGGTGCGTGTCGCTAGCCTTGTACCAATGACAAGGCTGCTCGTTTGCTCCCGGGGTTTCCTCAATTTCAGAAAAACGAGGATGAAGTTTTTGTATTCCTTCACGAATGCGATTATAACTATTGGATTGAAAACTGGAAATAAGGCAAACATAATGAAGATGCCGCTCGTGATAATAGGCGTTGAGTCAAGACCGGCAAAAAGCAAGAACATAGCAATGCAATACCCAATCACCAGGAAGACGGCCGGACACGCAGCCTGAAAATGTGCGAATGCGAGAATAATCTTAGGCTGCATATTCATAGTTCCAAATCATTGCCAGAGAAGGTTAAGAAGTTTTATGAGGTTAATCGCAAAGTGTTTTAACCTTTTCGTATTCTTCTGTGGATGAGGCATCCATCACTAGTTTTTCTGCAAATTTTAATGAGAACTAAGAACAAGAATTTTCAATTTCCCCTGCGAAATGGGAATATAACCCTTGCATACCCTCTCTTCTGTACCATAACACGCATTACATTGTACGTAAAACACGATAAAATATTCATGGACTAACAACGCTTTATTGATAAATGTAGAGCTGTAGGAATTTTCATGGTCATCTACAGGGACATTGTATATTAATATCGAATAT